CATGCCCTGCTGCTTTTCAATTAAATGTGTTAGGGTGACATTGGATAAGAACGTTACGTAAGCGTCAGATGGACAACTTCATAATTTGACATGTATGTATCCCGTTGTGGGCTCACCACCCAAACGCTCCTCTCCCTCCGTCACTATAAATCTGAGCCCCGTTACCCTCTCATCCTCCCGCAACCCACTTCACTTCTGGTAACCACCACTGTGATCTGTGTCTCTGAGCTTACGGGCTTCCTTTGTTCATTTGTTGCTTCCCGATTTCCATCCCAACGATGAGTAAGAGTGAACTCATGTGGTTCTTGTCCTTCTCAGTCTGACTCGTTTCACTTGGGGTGATACTCTCAAGACCCATCCCTGCTGACACAAGAACCCACTCTTATCCGAGACACGTCACGATTCCCGGGATTGTGATGCATGAAAATCAGAGTCATAAAAACGTGGCAGTGCCATTGAGGATGGCTGGGATGAATTCTCGTCCCATCTCAGCCCTGAAATGATTGCCATGAAAGCATGGCTCTGGTTTCTACTTCAAGAATGGACAAGTAAGCGACTCCCAGACACACCTTTCCTGAGATAACATCTCTATCCTCCACAGGAAACACAAAAGAGAGATAATATGGCTCTGGAAGACAGTGAATATTTGGAAGAAGGAACCAACATGGGGTGACTTCCCAGTTTTTAAGGCTTTTAATTTGAGGGTAGCCTGCAGACACTATCACAAGGGCCAGCTAAATGTCAGATTGAAAATCTGCAGTCATTCTGACATGAACAGTTAGAGAGTAGGGCCCAATACATGCACAGTCACTATAAAGGAAGGTGTAGATCACGGGGGGGGGGGGAAAGCCTGAATTAGAAACACTGCCCAGACCTGTAGCTGATGCAAGAACCACAGACAGGAAGGGCAAACACAAAATACCAGTTAAAGATTAAAAAACCTGATAAAAAAAAGCTGAATTGAGATTTGAGTAGGTTCCTCACAGCCAGCGTTTGCCATTTGAGTTCAATCTAATTAATTCCCTGATAAAAAACGAAAGCATCAGCACTCTTTTGAAGAATATAAGAATAAAGAGGGAGCGCAAAAAGATAAAAGACTATTTTAAAAGAAAAAAAAAATCCAGTGACTCCAAATGAGATGGAAAAGTAGCCACAGATAGGGCAGAGGGAATTCAAAGATCAAAACCCAATCATGTCAATAATTACACTAAACATGAATGGACAAAACGTTTCAATACCAGAGATCATTAGAATGGATTAAAAAATCAAGACCCAAATTCATGGTGTCTAAGAGAGAAGTGCTTTAAATCAAAAGCCACTGATAGGCTGTCTTTTCGTTTTGTTGGTGTTTCCCTCTGCTGTGCAAAAACTGTTTCATTTGATGAAGTCCCATGTGTTTATTTTTTTTTCTTTTGTTTCCCTTGCCCAAGAATACATAATAGATCAGAAACAACTATTACTAAGAACAATGCCAGAGAGTTTACTGCCTATGTTTTCTTCTAGGAGTTTTATGGTTTCGGGTCTTACATGTAAAGCCTTTAATCCATTTTGGGTTTATCCTTGTAATGTGGCAACAATTATGTATAGTGCCAGGTGGGGACTAGTCTTATCGGGAGGAAGGCTCACTGCATAAATTATATAAATGTCAAACCATTATGCTGCACTCCTGAAACTCATATGAAATAACATTGAATGTAAACCATAACTGGGAAAAAAAATACTTTATGAAGAAAGAGAAAGCCACAGACAGGTTGAAGTGATAGGAAAAGGTCCAGCATTTAAATATTCGGCTTATGTGTTCATTTCAGCTTAACTAGACTTCAAGGTAGAGAGCATCAGGAAGGGAACACATTTTTTAAAAAACGAAGAAACAAACCTTCTAATAATACCAGAGCTTCAAAGCACAGGACAGCAGAGTTACCTCAAAGAGTAGAACGTTGCACAATAATAGTTTCTTGTGTTTGAACAAATTTCAGCACTGTTATCGGATAACTCACTTAGGGATGTAACTCTGAGTTGACAGTTTTCTCTCAAACGTTTGAAGGCGTTGCCCTGTTGTTTTGTGGCTCCACTCGAGGCTGTGAGTAAGCCCATGTTCGTTTAATACTTTTTATTTTGGAGGCAACCTTGTGTTTCCCTCTGACTAATGTGAAGACTTTTTCCTTACTCTTAGAAAGCCTGTAGCTTCCCCATGACGCCTTAAGTTATAAAGTTACATTTGTGGATCTCCGCTTAGAATTACTTTCTACGGGTGCTTCCTGAATGCCTTTCATCAATTAAGAACTTTTTCCCAGCCATGTTTTTCCCCCCCTCTATTATCCTTTAGATTTTTCTCCAGCCTCTCTATTCTGTACTACAGGGAATAGAATTGACGACCACCAACAAGGACTCACAGCATCCATCATCGTCACATTTATTGAGCGTTCACTGTACGCCGTGAAATAACACAGGGAAGGCTCACAGCTACTCTGTGAAAGAGACACTGGTTTTCCCCATTTTACGCGTGAGGAAAGGACGATGCTGAGATTTCTCCCCAATCGCAGGATCAGCAGGAGACACAACCAACAACTGTAGCCAGGCATTTTTGTCCAGAACCAAAAGTTTGTTAGAAAAAAGAGAGAGAGAGAGAGAGAGAGAGAGAGAGAGAAAGGAAAGTCAAGGCTTGCAAATGACTTCAGCGCCCCTTCACGTTTTATGTATTTCATGCTGACATTAAATACTCATCACAATCGATGGCAGAACAAGAGGTCTGGGGTCAGGACAGACAAGCAGAAATCCCTCAAGTAGCCACGTAAAAACAAACGGCATAGGACCTGCTGCTTCTAAGCATTTCCCGGGAACCACAGACCCAGAAGAACCCGCCTTGGTGCCCCGCTGTCCTTCAACAATGACCTGATTACAGAAAAACATGAGGCAGCAAATGGCCCACGCCACTTCACTTGTGGACGGATCCACATGCGTTTCGTTGAGTTCCTGGGTGTGACTGGAAGGAAAAACTGACATCTGAAGATTCGAAAAAAAAACAAAAAACGGGTGGAAGACATCGTTTCCGATCCCAAACGGGGTGGATGAGTCAGCTGAGAATGGCTCTGACGAGCTTTGTAACAGTGAGTCGGTGGTTGGTAGCAAGTGGTCCTTTCCTGCTCTTCAAGCGTTGGGGATAATGTCGTCTTCTTTGTCACACCCACAAAAAGGGAATGTCCCACAGCAGGGCTGCAGCCACGGCTTCCAAAGCGTGTTGAACACCGACAGCTGCAGTGGGGCTGGCGTGAGTGTCTTGCGATGCTCCTTTACGGCCGCCTCGACTTTCTGGACCACGGAGTGGAATAACGCTTCATTGTCAGGGCTGAGAGGTCGCACCTCAGAAGGGTCTCGCGAGACGTCAAACAGGAGGGGAGGGTCGTGGTAGGTCACGTCCGTGGTGCAGGAGCACATGTCACTCCCATAGCAGGCCCCAGCGCCCTCTGGGGAGAACCTGGG